TTTAGAGTTGACACCATCAATCTCCTTTAAGCTAGTAGAAGTTATTAAAACTTAATAATCTATGATATTTCATTAATGTTATGTAGATAATAAAAAATAAAGCAATTTTGGAATACTGTGTGTCCACACATACTAAGGAAGTTGTTGTTGAAAGTAAATTGGCTGTACAGATTATGTACAAGGAAAAACAAAATAAGAGCATATTTGTTTAGGTATTTAGAGTATCCAAATATGGTAGCACATTGGTTTTCATGTTAGGCTATGAATAATTTTGTCTTATCTCTAAGGATGATTTGGTATTAGGATTAAGTCATTCCATTTTTCAGAGTCTGTGATCATTACAAGAGTTTAAACTATATCATTAGTATAATGATTATAAAAATGCTTTTAAAGAGTGTTTACTTTGGGGACATGAAGAAATCTTCAAAGAATAAAATACTTTAAAAATGTCACGGGAGATGTTATCCTTTTAGTAATAATGAGAAATGGCTTTCTCATTTAGAAGTTCCTTGGAACCATTTACTTCTGAAGAGAAATTCCACATAGGAATTACATGTGTTTGCTATGATCATAACAGAGAGTGTTAGAATAGCAGAAATGATTAAGCTTGATGGTTGACTACACTCACTAAGACCCAATGGTGTTGATGGCCCTTCGACTACATATTTTTTCTTCTTCAGAATTTCAATTCTTTCTCAAGAACACATAGAAGTTTGAACTCTGTATTTCTTTTTACTTATTCAACACTTGCAGATTTTATTTCTATTTATTGCATTACTGTATGTGTATGGATTTGTCTGTGCATCGTGCATATGCAGTGTCTATGGAGGCCAGAAGATGGTGTCAAGTCCCCTGTGGGACTGGAAATAGAACTGGGTTTTCTGAAAAGCAGACCGTGTTCTTAACCACAGAAACATCTCTCTAACCTCATGCTTCATATTTTTTTTTTTTTAAAAAATGGTATATGTTTGCCAGAAGGACTTGAATGAATAGATATTCTATATGCTCTTAATTTTTTGCCTGTCTACATGATCTGTAAAAACGTCAACATTTGATTAAACAAATAAATAAGTGGATAGTTAAGCATGTGCTTAATATGTGCACAATATGTGCAATACTGTTTGATAAGTTGAGAAAGAACTACCTATTTTCCTTTCACACTTTAAAATAAATAATTACAAAAGTATCTTAAAACACAACATATACGAGCCCTTGGTAATGGAAACATTACAAAGAGGAACTAAGAACATTTCATTTTAGAAGTGCTGGGAGATTGAACCTTTCAATGTTCTACATAAGCCTTCTACTACTGAATTACAACCTCAGCTTTTTGACTCAGTTCATTTTAATAAAGGTTCTAGAGTATTAGAAAAACTACCCTCTCTGTTTTTGTTAGGATTTGTTATAATTTTCCTCATTTCAGTTTATTCTGACATTCTTATAGCAGAGGTAGAAAATACCCTGTTGGAAAGATATAGCTAAAAGGATATTGGGAAAGGGTGCTAATTGTAGATCTTACTTAGTGTCAGGGAAAGGAGTATAAGAAAAGTTTTTAAAAGATTTAAGCAAGAGGTCATCCTTGTAGATCTCTGGACATTTCCCTAGTGCCATATTTCTCTTTAAACCTATAATGGCTTTCTCTATTATGGTATCTCCTTTCTTTCCTCTATTCTTCCCCTGACTCAATCTTCCTGCTTCCTCGTGTCCTTCTCTCCCCTCCTCTTCTCCCCTTCTTTTTCTCCTAACTCCCTCTCCCCTCCCCCCAATTTATTCAGGAGATCTTGTCCCTTTTCCATTCTCTGAGGGACCATTTATGTCCCTCTTAGGGTCCTCCTTGTTTCCTAGTTTTTCTGTCGCTGTGGATTGTAGGCTGGTAATTCTTTGGTCTATGTCTAAAATCCATATATGAGTGAGTATATACTATATTTGTCTTTTTGTGACTGGGTTACCTCACTCAGGATGACTCCAACTAACAATCTAAGCAATAGTGGAGAGGCTAGCTTAAATGCCCTTTCCTGATAATGAGATTGATGACTATCTTATATGCCATCCTAGAGCCTTCCTCTAGCAGCTGATAGTAGAAGCAGACACCCTTAGCTGAACACTGAGCCAAATTCCTGGAATCCAGTTGTAGAGGGAGGAGTCATGAGCAAAGGGGTCAAGATCAGGCTGGAGAAACCCAGCAGAAACAGCTGACCTGAACAAGGGGTAGCTCATGCACCCCAGTCGGATAGCTGGGAAACCAGCACAGGACTATCAAACCAGACCTCCTGAAAGTAGGTGTTATTTAGGAGGACTGGACAGACTATAGGGTCTCTGGTAATGGATCAGTATTTGTCCCTAGTATAAGAATGGACTTGGGGAGCCCATTCCATATAGAAGGATATTCTCCCAGCCTAGACACATGGGGGAGGGCCTAGCCTCTGCTCCAAATGATATGACAGACTTTGAAGATTTCCCCAGGGAAGACTTTGCCCTCCCTGGGGAGCAGAAAAGGATGGGATGGAAGTTGGGAGGGGAATGGGGGAAGAGATGAGGGAGAAGGTTAGGGAGAGGGAGAGGGAGCTGGGATTGACGTGTAAAACAAGCTTGTTTCAAATTTAAATTAAAAAAAATAAAAAGGAAAAAGGATTAAGCAGGAGTAACACTTAACCGACTTAACTGCATTTAAATGCACAAAGTATGCAATACTGTGTTAAATATACCCAAAGAGATTTACTACTATTTAGTAGATTATGTTTCATAATATAGTACAATGTTATTAGTTACATATTAATACTAATTTTTAGTAGTAGTAGTCTATTTTTAAAGTTCTGTTAAAGAACTTCTAATTCACTCCTTGTAGCCAGATTGGGCACTGAAAAATCATGGCGCCTCCCCATTATCCATGTAAAGATGCAAGGAGACATACTTGTAAATGTGAACTAATATCCATTTCTGGATTCCTTGCTTTCAAGCTTTATTCAATTATTCACAAATACCCATAAGATAACTTTAAGAGATACAGAGTGCACTGAAACAAAATGAAGAAAGCTAACAATGAAGACATTATTATTCACTGAAATAGAATAATATTGAAATGGTTATGATTTACTGACCTGTATGGTCAGTCAGACTACTTCCCAATCCTATTCATATAGCATCAGGAACATTTAAGATTGGTTTCTGTCATATAGCTCCCAATGACACAGGTACCTATCTCAAATGTAAAACGAGTGCAGTTAGTACATTACATTTTGTAGTTCTGTGCTTTAGTTAACGTGCTCAAAAATACTTGAGCCTTAATATCAACTTGAGAAATGTACAGTAAGCTTTCCTTAGATGAGTATGTAACCACCATAGAAATGAAAGAGAATGAAATGTACTATTAAATGGACTGGAAGCTCCCTTGGGGATAATGGCCTGGGTGCTGACAGGAGGTGCCCCTGCAGTATAGTTGAAAGGGAATGTGAACCTGACAGAGTTCAGGGAGGAATTCCGCACCCTTGTGTACTGTAAGGACTGCATGTGCCCAAGGCCAGGTGATAATAGCACAGAAAACATTTTAAGAACACCGTTTTAAAAAAGGAAGCGCTGAGCTAGCCATCAGTAAAGGAATGAGATTATGTTTTGATTCATTGGCATGGCACGGGAAAAAAAAAAGAAGGAAATAAGTGAAGATTCCAGTGGTATTAGTAGTGGGGGCTTATTTAATTGTATGCTTCATTTTAAAGTTTTTAAGTTTTGTAGTCTTTCTAGGATGCGTATATATAATATTTCCATGTTATTAGTGTTCGAGTATGACAGAGTATTGTACTGTGCAAGCTTGCTGTGACTTCGTTTTGCTAGAGCAGAATTGTGAGGCAAAAGCAGCCATTTCTTCTTTGGGATTTATCATTGGAGTGAATGGACTGAAGGTTATGTCCTCTAGCTTCCTTTCTTTCCTCACTTACTCACACAACTTCAGGTGCTACCAAGTCATTCCAATGGAATAACAGAAGATGGGGGAAGGTAGCTTCCCAAAACAAACCGGTTTCAATTTCACCTCCACCTTCAGGCATTTTCAAAGCATTAAAAAGCATCTCTCCTTTTGTCTTTTTGCCTTACCAATAGTCTTCATATGGCTTTAAGACTGAAAGGAACTTTCCTACCCACGATTTAAGATTTTTCAGGCGCGCAGGGTTACTCTAGCTCTAAAGAAGTAGCGTTCCTTCCCCTAGGAGACCTAATCCTAAGGCCCCCTAGAGTGCGGGAAGTGCACCCGGAGGAGCCCTCCCCAACACTTTCCACCCCAAACAGGAGAGGCAGGAACAGGGTTTAATTCTGAGCAAAAGGCAGAATGACGAATTTCACTGAATGGGCTGTTTTTAACTAGGAAACATTCTGCTTGTGACAAGGTAGAGTCCGCCTGACAGCAAGGATGTGTGGCAGCATCCTGGGTTGGGGGCTGGGTCGTTGAGGGAGGGAGAGCTTCCCTTCTCAGAGGTTGCATTTTGTGAGTTGGTCCAGGGACCCTGCTCCCTACTTCACTCCCTTCTTTTTGCCCTCCCCCCTCCCCCAGCCTGAGCTGGGTCGCTGCTTTCTGAACCCAGAGGAAGTAGCAGGAAGGCCGCTCCCCACCACCCCCTCGCTCGGCTTTAGGTGAGCTCACAGTGAAGCTCCTGCTGGAAATGGCGATGGGGCAGCAACGAATCATGCCTGAGAAAAAGTTCTATTTTATTATTTTCACTTTTGAAAGGAGCAAGAAAGCTCAGAGAAGGTCCCTGGGAGGATCTGACCAGTTTCCCGCCCCCTCCACTAGCGCCTTGACCTTGGGCAGTCCCAAAAGGCCAGCTGAACCCTTATGAAACCCTTTTGTGCGCGATCCCCAATTCAGTGGCTGCCGAGGGGCAAAATCTCGGAGACGGGATTTTGCTATTTCAAACCCAGGCCAGCGGTTCTTCTGCCTTTCCAACGCTTCGCTTCTCTTCAACCGGGGTGGGAGGCTGGGAGGTGGTCCTCTTCTGCCCTCCCCTCCTTACTTAGCGGGTCTCCTTTTTCTCGCTGCTCTGCAGGAGCTCCGTCATGAAGGAAATGTAGACGATGGCCAAGCGGAGGGTCTCGATTCTAGACAGCCTCTTCTCATAAGCAAAGGTGGGCACCTTCCTGCGCAGCCGATCGAAGGCCTCGTTTAGGTTGAACATCCTCTTCCTCTCGCGAATGTTGGCGGCCTGGCGCTGGGCGTAGGTGATGACCCTTTTCCTTTTGGGGCGACCCAGCAAGGATCTCTGGCGTCCCTCTCCCTCCTCTTCCTCCTCCTCCCGGTCCTCAAAGATCACTTCGCTCCCCTCCTCCTCCTGGTCTGTTTCCTCAAATTGCAACAGCCTCCTGGGTCTTCTTTCTCTGAAGCCCAGTGTTTGGTCCCCCAAAGGGACCCCAGGTGGGAAGTCACAGAGAAGAGGGTGTCTTGGAGAGGCCAAAGAGAGATCTGCAACGAAGTTCAGCATGGTAGCATCCAAGTAGCTCTCAGGATAGGTGGCCATCCTCAGTGTCTATGTCATCGATTTTTTTTGCTGGAAGGTCATAGCTGTGGATAGGCTTCTTAATAGCCTCAACCCTTTTGGCGCATTGTCACCAGAGGCGAAGAGACATTAGAATTTATAACCAAGTCAAAAGGATTATTTGCAGGGAGAGGCAAGGCTAGGGCGATGCCCTTTTTCTGGAAGCTGATAGAAGATGACAAGCTTGAGCACTCATGGAAGGCTTGAGCCAACAGCCTTTCAAGTTCTAAGCATTTTCCCCCTGCAGCACCAAGCAGGGCAGTTCCTTCTTGGCAGCAACCCCCAGTTCTTACCTGCTGTGCTTTTTGTGTCTGGTCTCAACCCTGTATCCAACCAGTGTTCTCCTGGTCACATATCCCATGTAGGTCTTTAATTTCGGTTTGGATCTTCAAAGCCCAAATCTTTCCACTGCCATGGCTTCTCCTTGGCTTCGGGAGAGCAGTCCTGAGTCTTGTCGCCATTTGCCAATGGTTGTGAAACAAGTGCATTCGCTTTTAATGATGTCCAGAAGAGGGGCCCTTCCTGCCAGGGGTCGAGGAGAGCTGTTTGTTTGGTATCCCAGTGCAGCGGCTGCTGAAAGGCAAGACCTTCCATTAGCTTAAGTAAGCATGGCCAGGGGGCCCAATCGCATTCCCCAGTGTCTCTGTTGGAACCGGTGTTTTTTCTCCTTTTAGGGCATCGCAAACTACTCTCTGCCTGGTTACAGACCATGACTTCTGAAGTTGGCTTGGATACAATCAGCCTGACAATGGACATACTTGACTTTATTCTCCCTGGCCTTATTCTCTCTACATTTGAGGGAAAAAGTTATGGTGATAATGAAATAAAAAATGGAGACTTGGAACATTTACTGCATATGTCTTTTACTGTATGTTTACTCGTTTCGGGGCAAAGCAACACTGTCCCTTTGTGTTATCTCCCCCTCCTCCTGAATCTACAAACTTCTTTTGAAAAATAAGATTTAGCTCCAATAATCCAGAGAACAGCTTACCCTCTGCTGAGGAGTCAGTCTTCAGACTTTTAAATTGCCAATAAAGTATTTGTTCTTGAACAAAGAAACATCCAACACTTTGATCTGTGCTACTCCTCATTCATTTGAATCCCGCCTTAAGGTTTAAGACGGAAAACAATACCTTACTGAATTCTTAAGGGGCAGTTGGAGGCTACCCACAGAAATAGGAGAGATTGCAAATGTGATATAGTAGGAATGAAGTTTTACTGACTCTTCTACATCCCAAATTTTCACACAGAAAGTCTATTTTTCAGTTTTTGGTTTAATGATGGCTGTAGTTAATTATGCAGTGTAGAAATCTGTAAAAAAAAAAAAAAAAAAAAAAAAAAAAAAAAGCCGAGGCAAACAATACACTGAAAAACATTTTCAGAGGTATGTCAGAAAAAACAGCAGAAAATATGTGAGTGGAGACTTTCTGATTTCAGGGAGAATCAGGAAAGATGTAGGTTCTTTTTAAAGTGAAGCACTTGGTACATTGGACAGCTCCCAGAAACCCCTAATTTCAACCAGTGCACTTCTCTTCCCTTTACCTCACTGCCCAGTAAGTAGCCAAAACAAGGGTTTCTAGAGTGCACAGCAGGGTGATTATAGATGACAGAAATGTTAAAAGAAAATATTTTTCAGTTTCCACCACAAAAAGTAAACAAATTCTTAAATAGATAACATGTTTAGTGTGGTTTAAATGTTAGTATATACAGATATAGTCACTACATGTTGCTCCATCAATATTGCTAAGTTTTATATCCTTATATATGAGTTAAAATATTTTTTAAATGCAGCATAATCTTTTTGTTTGTTTGTTTCTTTTGATCCCCAGATCCAGGCTCTACTTCAAAGTGTCTTTCTTTAATAGATTTTCTTTTTCTCTTGTTTAAATTTACTCTTCATCCCCTTATTGATACTATAACAATTCTGGTGACAGTGTGAGTTTTCTCTGAGGTGTGATAACGGGAAAGGGGGTTTTGTTATAATTGCCTACTTGATTAATTCCTATTATATTAAAGAATGATAAAAAAAAAAAAACAAAAGAAAAAAATCAGGACAGAGTGTGTAGCCATTTGCTACAGAGCCTCTGTAGGATGCAGAATTACTGGACTTGATTCCCAGGACCACATCAACTGGATGTGGTGATGCAGAGTTATAATACTAGCATATGAGAGGTAGAAACAGCAGAGAGGTAGGGAATTAGAAGTTCAAGATAAAGCAAGCTAGAAGCCAGTTAGGGACACATGAGACCCAGAAGAAGGAAAAGAAGGCATAGAAATACCAGCAGTGGTTGTGGAATCAGTAAATAAGAAAAATGAGTTTTTTTAAAATGACAATCCCTGTTTTACTTAACATGTTATTAAGTAGTTGTGTAAGTTTGTGTAATTTATCACCTATGGGTTTTCTAATAGTAATCACATATGATCCAAGAACAAGTCAGCCCTACAGCAAACGAAGACTGCTCAGTGAGAAGAAATATAATAAAATAATTCAACTTAAATTCAGTAAAACAGAGATCCAAAACTGTGATGCAACTCAAGGAGAGATGTTTTTCACACTAAAATATTCAGTTAAGAAAATGAGTATTTTAAAAATCATATAACATCCAGCACTGGGCTGAAACACTAGTATTAAGGTGATATACATTTAGAAAACTATATATACATATATATGTATATATAGTTTAAGATATTTTTATGAATATAATCTCATGTTAAACCCTTGGTTTGTGCCACAGTAATTTATCTTGTGACACTCTAATCATTCTGACACAATTAGTACCCAAAACATTAGGGTTTATTTTTATTATTTTATAAATATTGTAAATATATTTATTATTGTATTATTATTTTTATCTCCAATTATGAAGTGTACAAATAAACAAAATGGGCTTTTCCTTCTTACTTTGAAATACTTTTAAAGGCCTTCTGGCTCTATGACTAAAAGTAAATATGAACTAACAAAAAGCTGAGTGATTTTTAAATAGTTCATCCCATAGGAAATTATATTTCTCTTTTTTATTTCAAGATTTTAAAGTTAAAAAAGAAACATTAAATAAAACACCCAACTGTTGCTGAAAGAAATCTAAAATTACCAGATTAAGTTCCTCCTCTGTGTTCTTTGAATATAGTGCATGTATTTTTTAAAATATACATAAGGATTGCTAGAAGCTTTGCTTAGAGTCCTTTAAGAGTCAACATGAAAATGAGTCAGTTGTGTTTTTGTACACAATGTGTCTCTATTGAGCATCTCAGTAAACATTTTATATTAACAGTTTTTAAAATTCAGAATCAAAGCAAAATTCAAGGGACTAAGAACAATAATTCTCAAAGGGGCTAGAAAGGATTTTAAAATGTCAAGTAAAAAAAGGTAGATTAAAAAAAAAAAACATTTCAAAGGTCCTCTCAAACTGGTAAAAATTCTCCCTTCCCTCTTTTTTTATATTCCTTCCCTTATACTCCCAAATGTTCATCATCTGATAAATGGTCAAATGGTGAGAATTAGGTCAAGGGCAAACAACTGTCACGATCCCAGAAGAATGTCCTAAATCTGTTTCTCCTAGCTTTCATGAAGAGTTTTGTGTTCTCCTTCTATTCAATTTCAAATCTGTATTGTGATGGCCATGGCTGATTTATAGATAGAGATGTTTATATACTTCTCAGTTTATATAATTTATATTCTAGGTATACTTTATATTTTCTAATTACATATAAATACATATTATTCTAGTTATATAATACATGTTAGATGACATTTCCAGCTATATTCTGGTTAATTATATTTAAAGTAAGCTTGCTTTGAGGTTTAGAATACATGCTTTAAAATTAATAAATTATGCATGCATGTGTTAATTAAGTTTTAGGAAGTGAATGTACTCATGAAAACAGGTTCTGAACCACAAAATAAAGCTATTTCACTGAAGTTTCAGACAGTGCAAGGAGAAATGCCTTCATTGTATTGCCCCGAACTGTTTTACCAAATGAAGGCACCGATGTCAGAAGTACTCAAAGCACACAGAATATCACAAGTATCTTGAAAGGTCTCTCTACAGCCTCATGTCTGACTTCTGAGATGAATTTAGCAAAATTTAGAACACTAAATAAAAACAAATTATATTCTGCATATTATTTATTCTGAAATTCATGCATATTGTTCTCATTGATGAATGATCTTTATTTGTGTGAACATTCCAACATTTATGATTCCTACTGTTGGTTGTCATTTGGGGTGCTGGGTGTTAAGTATTCAATTCTAAGCTAGTATTAGTTGCAGTATGAAGGATGTTGTTATTCATCTTCTATGAGTACACTTGGTCATTCCTGTCTATGGTACACTCAAAAGCCAAGAGATTATGGCTTACAAGGTTCTTCCTTCTTGGCTTCTTTTCTTTTTCCTGTCATTGGCCAGGGCGTGGATGTCTTGCTGAACTAGAATTAGCCATCTAGATGGAACTAAACTTTATGGGAACGTGGAAACATTTCCTGAAAAGGACCAGATAGTACATACTTACTTTTCTGGCTGTGCAGTCTCTGCCACAACAATTCAACTCTGCCACCATTTTATACAGAAGCTTCAGTGGTACATAAATGATGGTGCTTTACATATGAAAGTGGATATCAGGGAGTCTGGTGGTTGGACTGTAGTTTGATGACACTTGTTCTAGGAGAGGGTGGAGTTTCAGGAGGCCAGGACGAGTTCCTCCAGTGGGCAGAGCAGAACCTCTCAAATACAGAAAGAAGAGTAGGCCAGAAGCAGTCTACTTCTAGTGCATTTTGAAATGCACTTCAAGTAGATTGAAAGTGCTCTACTTTGAATCAGCAGCAAGCAAACAAACAAGAACAGTGGGAGAAACTGAAAGTTTAAACAAAAGGGCTTCTGATGTCTTGGTAATGCATCATTTGAAAATGGCTTCGAATCAGCTCTTATACGATTTGCCTCAGGCTTTTCTTCTTCAAACGCAATAAAGCTATTTCTGTTAGCCTTT